GGGGTGCAGCTAGTGCGGGGTTCCCTCACCCCGTTTGTAAGTAGGGATCCGACATAAGTCGGATCCACGTAACCCGGGGACTGTCTGTATTACTTAGCCCTGCCTCAAGAGCTGGGAATTGGACTAGATGACCTATTGAGGTGCCTTTCAGTCCAACATTTCTAGGAGTTCATAAAACTTGGGTTAAGAATTTGGGGGGGGAGGGAGGGAGAGGAGGGCTAGGCAGTCAAGAAAATAATTTAGGCTTTGAATTGTTTTACTTACTGGGGGTCAGAGCGCTGGCTCAGTCATACACCAAGAAAGTTAATTCACCTCAGGATATTTGTTTTTCTCCTTTACAAACTGCCCAGAGACTGCATTTGATGTGGTTTATATAAAATAATTTACAGTCAATCATTAATCCAGTGTTCTATACCTCATATTGTTTGGAGCAAACAAATCTCTCAGATCTTGCTGCCAGACCAGGAAATCTTTCATATAACGGTGTTCTAAGAGATGCTGTTGCCATGTTTTTTTACTTACCCTACTGATAAAATACTGAATAGATCATCACTAGACAATGTTGCATTTTGCATGTTTAAAAAAAAAAACAAAAAACAAAAAAAACACCACACCCCACACACACACCAACCACTATTTGGAATTCTTATGTCCAGCTTCACATCTGTCTCAGACGTTACATTACCTACAGTTATTGGTTTATCTTAAGATACTTCATAAAGAAGTTTTGCTGGACTGTTATACAATTGTTCTAATCTCACTGTAAATTACTGTGGGTGCCTACTGTTTATTCTTACATGGTTTCAATACAAAAAACAGCTGCTCACATTTATTAGCTGACATTTCAATATAACTGAATTTAGATCTAAAAACCATTATGGAGCTGGTACAACATAATCTTGAGAAAGCTAAATTATACAAAAACATGTTATGACGAAAAAGCCTTTATTATAGATTATTAGGTTCTTGTATTATTCCCTACAAAAAGCATTCAATACCCACATGGGAATGTCCTTTTGAGTTGAGGAGAGACTAAATAAAGTCACTTACCAGGTACAGAAACCCTATAGTCAGGGGTTATTTCAAAGCACACATACATATTAACAGCATGATAGATCATCTTAACAGAGAGGCTATAGAAAACACGATGTGCAAATGAGGAACACAAAGTATCGCCTCTCCTAGACTTAAGTTTTGTCAACAAAACTTGGTAGTGTAGACCAGTGGTTCCCAACTTTTTTATGCTAGGGACTGGCAAACCCATTCACAAACCTTTGGCAGACCTGTTGCACACTATTTACATATTCATTATAAAAATAATAAATATGCAAGCAATGTTACCTGACCACCTAGCCCCAACCCAGCCCCTTGCTCCCCAGTGCCTAACACCCTGACCCTCCACCCCTACACCCCATGCCCTTTGACCCTTTAACCTCAGACTCCTATAGCCCATGCCAACACCCTCTTGCCCTGTGACCCCACTTCGCCCTCAATCAGCATCCCTTTGCGCCCCCCTCCACAACACTCCCAAGAGCGAGGCTGCGCCCCTAGGGAGCGTGGCTGTTACTGCCACGTGGAAAGGGGAAGCAGCTGTTGGCAGCCTGTGTGCACGCTCCCTCCCCAATCGCGTCTTGCACACCACCCATGGGTAGGGGGCAGGGAGCGCGGAACTCCTGCCAGACCACCATTACCAAGGGGGGGGGAGAAGAAAGGGAGGTGCTGCCTCTTCCGGCTACCACCTCAGACCCACTGCCGGCAAAAGCAACCGCATGGTTAGAGCGCCGAGCCCCAGCTGGCTGCCGTTACTGAGGGAGGGAGTGAGGCACCTCCTCCTGATACCGCGTCAGCACTGCTCCCCGGCAAAAGTGTCTGCACGGATAGGGAGAGCGGCCGTTGGTGGCGTGTATGCTCCCTCCTCCTACGTGTCCGCTCCTTCCCCCAGTGTGGAGGAGGGAGGAAGGAGTCTTTTTTTCCACTTTCTCCTGCCGTGACTCAGTCACCATGGATGCCGGAGCTGAGCCACCATGAACAGCTGGCCTGCCGTGAACAGCTGACTTGAGCTTCAGCAGCCGCAGCAGCCTGCAGGTCGTGGCCCAGCAGCTGGGAACCGCTGGTGTAGACATGCCCTATGTCAACACCCAAATGTCAACAAAACAAAAATCGCTTTATAGGAGTATTAAACGTATCGAGAAGTTTGAGAACAAGGCAGACGATGTCTTATCCAGAAAATATGGGGCAGAGGTGAAGCTCACATCAAGGCCTGCATCCAAAACACACAAGGAGTGTGTAACAACTGGAGAACAGGAATATGAACCCTGAATGTCACACACCCATTTCAGAACACCCATTTTTTACATTAATACCATGCACATAATACTTATTAATGTAGCTCATACATTACACCTAACATAGGTCTATCCAGTCTTGAAGCCAATTGTGATCTTCCTAAAAGGCAGCTGGGTTACTCATAATGTTGCCTGTCAAATGATTGCCAGAGGACTGTCTAAATAATGGTTCAAGAAATAAGCGGGCAGTGAAGTTTGTCACTTCATCACTATTCTGGGCTTATCATCATCAACATGCTGACTGATTCATAATGTGAAAAGAACAGCATGCCTGTGAGATTTATTAAAACAAGGAATTCTTCCTTACTCTCACAACAGTCATTCCCATTCTTGGTGGCAATGAAAAACAAAACCACCAGTCCTTTGGTCAATGATGTCCTCTATGTCACTAAAACTAGCAAGATACCTATCCGCCTCTGCCAGCAATACACATAGGGGTATGATTAGACATAACACGGATTTTGGAAAAACTGGAGGATTGTTCTTTAGTGATGGGCAACACCTCCTGACCACCACGATTTTCTGATATTACTAAAGGATTTGCTCTCTTCAACAGAATAAATCAATGCATATAAGCAAATCTAAATCATGCCATATTCCAAGCCCTGCTCAATCTCCTCTCAAGTCTGCTCTTGCTCAGCTTTATATCCCTTGTGCTTCACCATGGTTCTATGACATTAAAGACTCATGCACGGTCAGAGATAATTGTTTCAGAAATCACTTCGCACATCTCTCTTCACTTCCTAGGTCCTACTGCGGTGAATACAGGAGGGTTCCATACACGCTCCAGGTAAGATGGAATGGAGAAAGATATTCTAAGTCCGTGGTCACCAACAGGTCGATCGCGATCTACTGGTCGATCATGAGGCCTCGACCAGTCGCTCGCGAGGCGTCCTGTCCGCCCCGCTCCCATTTCCCTCCCACCCCCCAGAAGCCTCACTACTTCCCTCAAGAGAAAACGGAGGTAGTGTCAGCTTCAGAAGTCCTGCAGCTTAGCGCCACTTCCAGCAATTCCAGAAGTGCGCTAGCTGCTCTGCCGGTGTATTGTGGGAGGGAACATTGGCTCCCTGCACCGCACAGAAGGGGTGAGTCAGCCCCGCAGGAGGCGCGCAGGGGGTTTCCCAGCACGTGTGGGGGGGTTGGCCCCAGGACAAGCGCACGCAAGGCTTCCCTGCACCGGAGGGGGAGGGGGTTGGTCCTGGGGCAGACACGCGCTGGTTTCCCTGGGGGGGGGGG